GGATTCGAACCTGCCACCTTAGGTGTATGTGGCTGGCGCCTTAGCCACTTGAGCCACAGACGCCGAGCCGAGACATTTACATTTCATGCCATTTTTACTATTCTGTACTTTGTACAGATATTATAGTAATAGTTTTTGATACTATAGTAATAGTAATAGTTCCAGTTCTCTAGTTAAGGAAGGAAAGTAAGAGGGACCAGCAACTGTTACCATGGCTTCCTTGCCTTCTCAAAGGGGACCCTCTCACCAAAACCACCAAGAGTCCAAGCATTTGGACCCTAAATAACAGGATTAACTGATTTATCCACATGCATGCCTCAATCACAATTCTGTTGCCCCCACAGGTTCGGGGTGAGGGGACTGGTATGCTGGGCTCGTTAGCCCTGCCCCTCTCGGAGCTCCTCACAGCTGAACGGCTCTGTTTGGACCGCTGGTTTACATTCAACAATGGTCAAGGGCAGGTGCTGCTGAGAGCACAGCTAGGAGTAAGTGCCAGGAGATGGTGGGCAGGCTGAGAGGGAGGGCAGGAAGGCCTTTCCTACTGGGGAATGGTAGGGGTATGGGAACAAAGGGCTGTGTCTGAGAGCCATGGCACTGGGAGAACTCTGCCAGCTCACAGCTTTCTTGCCCCCAGATCCTAGTGTCCCAGCACTCAGGAGTGGAAGCTCATAGCCACAGCTTTAGCCACAGCTCCTCATCTCTGAGTGAAGAACCAGAGATTTGGGGAACACTCCCTCCTAATACCTCCTCAGCCCCAGAGCTCCGGCAGCGCCTAACACACAGTGACAGGTAAAGGGCTGGGACAGAAAGATCAGGCAGAGTCGGGAATATACAGTGTGAGTCAAAGGAGCACTAGGCTCTGCCTTTTCCCAAGCCTGTCACCATCTCTCCACAGCCCCCTTGAAGTTCCAGCTGGGCCTTTAGGCCAGGTGAAACTGACGGTATGGTACTATAGTGAAGAACGAAAGCTGGTCAGCATTGTTCACAGTTGCCGGTGAGACTTCATCCTCCTGTCTTCTCTGTTCCCTCTGTCCCTTCCCTTGAGCTACCTTATCACTCACTTATATCCTCCTGTTGAAGGGCCCTTCGACAAAATGGACGGGATCCCCCAGACCCCTATGTGTCACTGTTACTACTACCAGACAAGAACCGAGGCAGCAAGAGGAAGACTTCACAGAAAAAGAGGACTCTGAGTCCTGAATTCAATGAACGGTCAGTCACTGGGCATGTAGCTGGAGAGATGGCAGGCTGCAGAAGGACCCCGGCCCCTAACACCCTGTAATCCCCCAGGTTTGAGTGGGATTTGCCCTTGGATGAGGTCCTTAGGCGAAAGCTGGACGTCTCCATCAAGTCTAATTCCTCCTTCATGTCAAGAGAGCGTGAGCTGCTGGGCAAGGTAGGAGGGCAGGATGGGCAGGGCAGGGGTAAGAGTTGGAAGCTGTTGGTACCAAGGCTGTAGCCCCTGTTGGGAAGGAAGCACCCCAGGTGGTACTTTAGAGGCAACTCTGTCACCTCTGCTGTGGCTGGGATCAGGAGTGTGATCAGGGGATATGGTTTTTAAGAGACATCAAAATAACGTCTTGTTCCCTACCATCCGCCAATACAGGTACAGCTGGACCTAGCAGAGATGGACCTTTCCCAAGGCGCAGCCCAGTGGTGAGTATCAGGGTCAGTGTGTCTGGATATTTAAGTAGGAGAAATCTCAATCACAGGAAAGGAAAAAGGATGCAGTCTGGGCTGGGAACCACAGATTCTATGAAGTGTAGGAGCCCTTGGTCATGTCTCATTTAGAAGAGGACACAGAGGCTAGGCACCTATAGCACAGTGGTTATGGTGCCAGCCACATACACCAAGGGTGGCAGGTTCAAACCCGGCCCAGGCCAGCTAAACAATGACAACTGCAACAAAAAATAGCTGAGCACTGTGGCAGGCACCTGTAGTCCCAGCTACTTGGGAGGCTGAGGCAAGAGAATCGTTTAAGCCCAAGAGTTAAAGGTTCCTGTGAGCTGTGACACCACACACTATCGAGGGTGACATAGTGAGACTCTGTCTTAAAAAAAAAAAAGAAGGGCGGCACCTGTGGCTCAAGGAGCAGGGCACTGGCCCCATATACCGGAGGTAGCAGGTTCAAACCTGGCCCGGCTAAAAAAAAAAAAAAAAAAGAGGACACAGAGTAGTCATCTTTCTATCTAAGCCCTCTCTGTTTCCATAGGTATGACCTAATGGATGACAAGGGCAGCTCCTAGGAGCCAGTGATTACCAGCCTGGTTCCACCGTGTCATCTTACCTTGCTGCACACTTGTCACCGCTCAATGTGATGAGCCTACAGCTGGGGTCTGGGGGCAGAGCCTGCACCCCCAACCCTTTCACCTTCCAGGCCTATACCAGGGCCTTTGCCTGACCAAAGAGAAGGACCACATGTTTCCTTTTACTGCACGGCCTTTATCCTTCTGGGCTCCTGGGGCAGGGACCTGAGCTGGCTGCTTCCTGCTCTGCCTGCACATTGTCCTCCCTCCCCACTCCTCAGGGCCTTCTGTACCTGTGCCTGGCCACTGGCAGCACCAGCAGTGGCATTAGATTATGCCAAATATCGCTTCTGGAAGCATCTGTCTTCTTTAAGTGCATGCTCACCTTCTTCCCTACTTTGAGCAGTCAGGGAGGATAACCATGGTGGGGGGGGGTGAGGTCTAAGCTAACCTCTCAAGCTGTGAGCCCATTGCATGTAGCATCTGTACAGCAGCCTGAGCCCCCTTGTCCAGTACTGTCCCCCCTTGCCTCAAGCCTATCCTGAAAAGTATACCTGCTGTGATAGCTGGGGTCAGCCTCTTAATTCACTCTGGGAATAGGGGACACCTGAATTGTACTGAAGCCTCCAAATAATGAGATTCAGTCTTAGAGCCCCTAGTGGGTGATGTGCAGGGGGCCTTGGAGGACTCAGGACAGCAGGGCCAATTTTTTTGTCCAAGTGCCTGGGCTGTTAAACTCACTGACTAGAACTGAACCTAGTTTTGCACCAACTCTGCCAATCCACTGTATCTTACATTAAACGTTATATTCAAGCCAGCATGGTTCTCTTCCTTAAAAACAGGGAAGCCAAGCTATTGCTTAAGAATTCAGGGGTCCGGCTTGGCACCTGTGGCTCAAGTGGCTAAGGTGCCAGCCACATACACCTAAGGTGGTGGGTTCGAATCCAGCCCGGATCCGCCAAACAACGATGGCTACAACCAAAAAATAGCCAGGCGTTGTGGTGCGCGCCTGTGGTCCCAGCTACTTGGGAGACTGGGGCAAGAGACTTGCTTCAGCCTAGGAGTTGGAGGTTGCTGTGAGCTGTGAAGCCACGGCATTCTATCCAGGGGGATAGCTTGAGGCTCTGTCTCAAAAAAAAAAAGTAAGGAATTCAGGGGTCCTCAAACTTTTTAAACCGGGGGCCAGTTTGCTGTCCCTCAGACCGTTGGAGGGCTGGACTGCAGGCCCCAGGACGAGTCGGCTGCTAAGCAGGACAGGCAGCGGTGTCAAAAACACCTGGTGGGCCGGATAAATATCCTAGGCAGGCCACATGTGGCCTGTGGGCCATAGTCTGAGGACGCCTGCTTAAGATGTTTATTCTGTCAACAGCTTTTATTCAATTCATGAGTCATGTCAGTTTAATTGATGATCAAAACCTACCGAGGTTGCAGCCACCAAGAACAGGAAGGACAGTCAAGGGGCCTGTGTGAAGTAGCTGCTATTGAGTTTCAGGTGAGTGAGACTTGGTTCCACTCATAGAGATGATGTCTGTTACTAGCCCACTTGTCTCACTACTGTGACCACTCTAGGGAAGGATCCCTGTCTGGTAAGCCTAGAAGCTCTTGAGTGTCTCAGTGCTATCAGGGCCTGCTCAGCTACATCCAGAAGGCTTCCGGTTCATCTGACAGGCAGCGAACTGAGAAATATTTTGTACCCATTTGATCTGCTCACTTTGAACTCTGCTCCTTGTAGGAGTTTTTCTGGAACACAAGCTATAGAAGCTGTGCTCTATCTGTTCTAACGGTCCAGTGAAAGAGTGAGATGGATGAAGAGTTAATACTAAAAATAAGGTCACTGGAATAGGAACTTGGGGATTTTATAACTGTCTCAAGGGACTTTATCATCTCTGGAAGAACATAAACCTTAGGATGCTGCCCCCAGGGAGGAAAAGGAAGTCTTGGAAAAGGACTAAGTTTCGTTCCATTTAAACTCCATGATGTCCACTAACTCAGCTGTGGTGTTCAGTGGCTCTTTTGTACTGGTTTCACTGCCATCTCCACTTCCTTTTCATTAACTTAAGAGGCTCCCCATGAACAAGACGGTCTCAGTTCCTATACCCCCTCCCCTTCCCTGCTCCTGAATCTTAGGGGCAAAAACAGGGCAGAGAGGTGGCACCTGTAGCTCAAGCGGCTAAGGCACCAGCCACATACACCAGAGCTGGTGGGTTCGAATCCAGCCTGGGCCTGCCAAACACTAACTACAACCAAAAATAGCCAGGTGTTGTGGCGGG